CAGAAACCTGTAGATTTACAATATCATTTTCTTCATCATTTACAGCATATCATTGGAAATCTGTCAAAAGAAACTAAAATAAAGAAATTAAATTTGGTATCTTTTTCTGTAAAACAAACTTAGAACAATGCTTTCTTTGTTAGATAGAGATATATGAATGTAATTGCCTGTAATAAGCCTGTATAACTGATATTTTAAATTCTAAATGTAAGTCGTTATCTTCTCCTTATATAAAGAAAAATGCAAACCTGTTTATGATCGTAAAAATCATTTTCGCAATTCTTTAAAACGTTGACATCACATTCTGTGGTAGCTGTCAATATTGAAAAAAAAACTTTTCAAATTATAGATTACAATTACAAATTTTTCAAAGACTGTTTTCTAAATATTTCAATGTATAACTTGGATTCACTTTTGTGACCCTGCCCTACCCACCAGTGTTCATAATTTAAACAATTTAGAATCTAGTACACTACTCAAGAATGTACCCATATAACATTTTCCTCTATATATTCCAGTTTAGTTCCAGGCTAATTCCTGGTTTTTATGGGTTGCAGAATTTAGAATTTACACTACCCCAGCATGCTTCCACATTATGTTCAGCTTTACTAGTCCAGTGGTTCCTTAAAAGTGGATTTTCAAAGATTGTTCTTATACATTTTGATGTAAAATTTTATTCCCTTGTTTTTGACCGACACGTCATGTGGTCGTTGATGTTTTCAGTGACTTTTTCCTGTACTTAAATCTAGTGTTCTGAGACGATCCTTAAATATTACAAAACCGTAAGTTCATTTCAGCCGGAAATGGGGAAAACAATTCGTAATTTGAGAAACCACGTCGGCATTTTTGAAATATATCAATCAATGTTGTTCCCAAGGACCATTTTTAATATAAAAAACCAAATTACTGTTGAATTGAGTGCTTTCAATATACATATTCATGAAATATAAAATAATGAAATGACTTCTAATTGGGGACTTCCTTGTTTGTTACTTTCCTTGTTCATGTTACTCAGACTTATGTTTATATGTGAGCAAATTATAACAACTTCTTTTATCAAATCAAAATGCTCTTAAAAGAAATACTAATTTACATTTTTCAAAAAGGGCTAAATGAATTTTAAATCAATAAATGTATATGTTCACCAGTATAGTCAATTTTACAACAATCAAGATAATATATCTTCCTTGTTCATGCTACTCGTGTCTATTATAAACACATCAAACACAAATAATGACAAAATAATAGATACTTACAGAGTGTACTTTGTGTCCATATCTCTCAAAACATGTAGTTCCTATTATAACATTGTTTCTATAGTGAATCAATAGTCATATTTTCATCTATCTATTTTTTTTCTTTCCTCGATCTATCCAACGTGTGCCTGTTGGTCCAATCGCATCATCTCGTGTCTTTCCGTCAAAAGTCGGAAAAACAACTTCAAATGTATTTACATCATCGGATGTTAAAGATTTACTAGTATACATCTTCCTGTTTATCAAAACATATGAAAGACGGATCTAAAAGTTTCTTCTATTGTGTATTTTAGGTCATATCTTTACATTCAATTAAAGTTAAACTCCATTATCTACAAATAAGATGGATGTATTCCCACATTTATATTAAGTTTGACAAAAGGAGGTTTTAATGGCGTCTGTAAGATATTCGAGGTGGTTTTTCCACTATTCGAAAAGGATCGATAAGTTGCGTTTGTGCATTGGTCTATCTTTGAAACAATGGATTTTATTTCGTATTTTGATTCAGATTTGTATGTATAATTGATTGATTGTGTTCATTTTGATTTTTCATTTGAAAATTATTTAATTATAAAAAAGATGTCAAGGTTGCCGTAAGAGGACGTATAGATTTATGCTAGACACTTTCGTTTCTTAATTGTGCCAACGCTTATCGTGACATGTGACCAACTTCAAAAACTATGCTTATTAAATAAAATGAATAAGCGTGGTTAGGTGAGGCATGTAGACATGTTTGTGAATCACGACATTATGCATAACGATATCACATGGCTTCCAAGTTAACCGAGATATTTGCCCCACGTTTACAGGAAAACTTTGGACTGTTTGCATATATCGCATGGCTTAGACGGTCACATATCGGAATATTTGCTCCATATATATGATGTCATATGTGATATGACATTCCAAGTTTCATTTTAAAAATAAAAAAGGTATGTTGACTTGAAACTTTTAATATACATACAAATATATTCATGAAATATAAAATGACGTAACTTCTCATTGGCAACATCTATGGCACGCCAAATTCACAAAAATGAGATAAATCTAGTTTCACAATTGATAAACTAGGTTTATCGAACGTAAACTATAGTTTACAAACCGTAATCTATAGTTAAGGATTCGTTAAGTATAGTTTTCATCTGTAAAACTATATTTAACGATCGTTAACAATAGTTTACAAATGCTTATCTAAGTTTATCTGTCTAAATAAAGCGTTAACAATAGATTTTGTTGATAAACATAGATTCACGTTTGTAAACTATTGTTTACAATCGTAAACTATAGTTAAGAGTTGTTAATCATAGTTTCACAAATCGTGAAACTATATTTATCAGATCGTTAACTATATTTTACGGTTTGTAAACTATAGTTTACAAATCGTGAAACTGTATTTATCATATAATCTATGTTTTGCAATCGCAAATGATTTTTTTCGGTGTTAAGTATAGTTTACGGTTGTGAAACACAGATTTTCGCGTTAACTATGGTTTACAGATGTGAAATATTGACTAACGTTGTTAACTATAGTTTACAGTCCGTAAACTATAGTTTACAACCGATAAACCTAGTTTATCGATTGTGAAACTATGATTATCTCATTTTTGTGAATTTGGCGTGCCATAAATATCCCTGTTTGTTACTTTCCTTGTTCATGCTTTTAAGACTTATGTTTTTGTGCGAGCAAATTAAAACAACTTCTTTTATTACTTTTTTTACAGAATTCTCAATACATGTAAATTTCACGATAATATTGCTTGAATCAATATCCTTATTATTATTATTCTGTTTTATCCCTTGATCCATTCAACGTTCTGCCTGTTGATCCAATCGCATCACCTTGGGTCTTTCCGTCGAAGGTCGGAAAAATAACCTCAAATGTGTTTGGATGTCATCGGATGTCAAAGATTCACTTGTATACATCTTCCTGTTTATCGAAACATATGACAAGCGGATCTAAAAGTTTCGTTTTTGTGTACTCAAGGTCATATCTTTACATTCAATTATAGAAAGTTAAACTCCATTATCTACAGATAAGTTATACATGTTTTCCCACATTTATTTAAAGGTTGAGAAAGGGGGGGGGGGTTGTAACGGTGTCTATATGTAATAATTTTGTGTTAGTGTTTTGGCTAGTCGGAAAGGCCCATTACGGTGCGTTAACGAATTGGTTTTGACCTTCGAAAATATGAATTTAATTTCGATTAAGATTAAACATAATCGATTGATTGTGAGCTGTTTGATTTTCAATTGAAAAACTCTTTAACCACATAAAGAGGTCGCGGTTGACGGAAGAGTTCACTTTTAGTAATACCAGTCACTTTCGTTCACTAATGTGGGTTCTTTATTATACTAACGCTATTCGAGATAACTGAACTACTCAATAACTGTGACTGCTCAATATCACTAATTAGCTTGGTTAGGTGTGGCATGTAAACATGTTTGTAAATTACATTATGAATGACAATGTCACATGGCTTCGAAGACATACTTGACTACTTGAGATATTTGCCCCAGGTTGACAGGAAAATCCTGGACTGTTTACATATACCGCATGGCTTAGAGGGTCGGATATACATGTACCAGAATATTTGCCCCATAATGACAGGAAATCCTTGGAGTATTATAATATGTCACCCGATGCAGAAGACAGAGGATCACATAACACTCAAAGTCATTCCTGTCACGGAGGGGCAAATATTCTGGTCTAGTCACCCGAGAAGTCATGTGGTAGATCTAATTTTGAAATAAAAAAAAATATTCTTAAATCATTCAAGTTTAGAAAATGCCCAAACATGCTTTTATGGCGTTAAACTTTCTGTGTTGTCTACGTTTGTTTAACAACCGAAATCACAAAATATCGAACCCCAGGATTCATGTGTAGCATTTTATGTGTGTAGCACGTGATGGTGATCGAGAGTGCGTTATAAATGCTTCCGTCCTCTGATAAAACTCTTCCCGGTGTGTTAAACATGTGCAAACTGTTTCCGATTGTATTCATCATTCTTCAAGGTTTATAAAGAACTTATTACCTTTATGACATAATATAAAGAAAAACTTATTAAACAATGTTATATAAGTAAGTGTTTCCCTACTGGCGAGCTCAGCCACGCAGGTAGAGTAAGCAGTCTCATTAACCCCGGCTTCTCTAAGTAACGTACTGATTCAATAATCTTTTGTGAAATGAGTGCCTTTAAAAATAATTACTACACAGTACAATTCGTTAAAACCTTTAAGCGTTATCCTTTTTTAAAATTAAAACTTCTCCATTGGAACATAAAGCCCAGTTTACAGTGTACTATCCTAGGAAATAGTCGTACAATTCTGTTTTCACGGTCTTATGCTTATTCAACTGCTTATCATTTAAACATGTTACACGCTAAATTAAAAAAAAATAATCGACAACAGTTCTTGCTTAACAAATACAATGATGATTCTCACTGCTACACAAACACTTAATAAACTTCCTTTAATAATTACATCACACATTCATGATTTGCACATTATGATAAGCCCTGTTTTATTTCGCCTCAAAATATTATAACATAAATAATCACTTCGTATGTTCGCGGAAGTTAATTATTGTAAACAACAGTATAACAACGGTAAAACATACATCTACAGACATACTTGTGATACGCACCCATGAACGTCCTTGAATTGAGTCTTCATACTTCATGTACTTGTGTATGAACTTTTGTGATTTTCCAGGTTCCTTATGATAACTGTATGGAACAGGGACCATATCTTTAAACTACTGATTTGTTATTATATTGTTTATCTCTATCTCTTATTAAAATGAATACTTTATTAGATTGTGCACTGCTTAGAAAAATTTTAAATTTTTATCATTCATAGCTGCACTTTTTCAGTTTTTTAGTTCAAATCGACGTTAAATACTGTTTAAGTGTACGGAATACAAGCTGGTACCAGGCTGCTTGACCGAGGGACCCACAACCCTATCCCCACCAAGAATTGCCTCACAGGAGATAAAATGTCACTTATCTAGAGAGACCCCTCCCACTACGTGCCGTCAGATAGGACCTTGAAAGAGCAACACCAGTACTGATCGTTACCTAGAGACACAAAACGTGACGCCAAGAAGATGCAGAGCGAGGACCAATGGGTGGACTTCATGAGACAGAGAGACACACCCTCTGTTAATTTTGTATTTTGCGGTGTAGGGATTATTATACTGGCAATAAGCGCAGTGTTTTTTTTTTGTTGTTGTTGTTGAAATTAAATGGAAACGTAAGGGAAAAAGAAATCAAAGGAAAGGGAAAATGAAACCGTTAACTTGATCGGTTATGCTCTCGTACTTTTCTGGCTCTTTCATTATTTTTTCCCAGCCTTGTAATCACCGTTAAATATGCAATTGTTTTTATCAGTTTGCTAATTAAACAAAAATACATACAGTGTTATAAAGATTGGTATGGGGTTTGGTCAAGGTTCGGAGATTTACATTCTTTGTAATAGAAGATGAATTGCTATAATTACCCAAAAGTATCACCATGACCACAATTTACTTTTTTTTTATTTCAGGTTACTACCACAAAGACATAGGTGTATTACAAAATGGAATACCCAAATGTAGCCTATTCGGATACACTCTGGATTGACCCAGCATGCCCCCGCGGGATCTGACGCCTTTGTTACCATAGAAAGAGCCGACCGAAGGAGATATTACGGCTATTATCACGAGGCCATTGAGCAGGAAAGAGAACGAAGAAAGAAGGAGCTTCCTGAAAGTATGAGAGTGGAAGCCAGACACATTCCGATGTTAAAGAGATAAGTGCAACTCCAGGACAATAAATACAAAAGTGTGCTTTTATTCGTGCAGTATTATATTTGTGTAATAATTGTTAATACGTCACCGATAATTGGACTATGCTTGTATAACTAGATGTTTATCAAACTTGTTTTGCTGTTTTTTTTTTACTTTAAAAATAAATTACACCTGAAATGTTTTTGTTGCACATATTATATGCAGAATGAAGACAATTTGAAACATAGGTAATCAGAGATTACAGAGCTCAACTCAACAAATGTTGTCTGTAGGTAAGGCAGAGTCCTACATTAAGCTTACAATCTAGAAGTTTACATCAAAAATGTGAAATTTATGCAATGTTATCTGATATGGCTTGTAGTAACTTGAATTGAAAACTTAAAGTAATTTGTAAGTGTTCATCTCTTAAGACAACACCCATGTGAAGTTGGTTCATGTAGGCGCAATATTTTCATAGTAATATATCTGCAACCATAACTTTTATATGGTTCATAATCTATCAAATGTATGTCAGATCCAGCAGCCGAAGCAGTTCCATTAGTGTGTGTCCTAAGATGGATCATCCTTGCAAGTTTGATTCAGGAAGGGTTTATATTAGAGATGGCAATTCTTAATCGATTAATCGGTCGGAACGATGCTAATCGGTTAGAAAATCCGTAATCGGTTAGTCGGAAAAAAATAAAAATATATGTAAATTTGAAATATTTTCTTAAAATTCACTTCTTGAAGAGGGAATCACTTTATAAAGTTCATAGATCGTTTTTACGTAACTTGTAATTAAATGATTTGGAGGTAATTATAGCTCTCCTGATTGAGGTCACGGGGTAACTGGTCAGTTAGTACAGTGTTAATTGCTGTTTTTTAAACATCATATTGATACCCCGACTGCCCTGCATGTGATTTTTAATGAGAGTTAGCAATGTTAGTTAGTATGTGTATATTTTGCCGTTATCTATTTAAGGAATAACTGTCTTATTTTTCGATTTCATGAAGTGATTAATCGATTGGCTTGCGTGATAATTTTCATAAACACCGTAGGCGTTTATGCATAAAAATATCACGCAAGCCAAACGATTGATCATCTTCATGAAATTGAAAAATCTGACAGTTATTCCTCATATTTACATGCTTTGATTCCGCCAATCCACGTGCTTCAAGCCCTTGATATGTCTAGCTGTTCGTCCCACCCTGCACGTGTTTTTTTGGAAGCGCGCCAAAACATTGATGGGGAAATAAAGTACATATACAATTGGTAATTTTATCTCGGACAAAGACTTTAGAAATGTAAATATTAAGTTATATCAGAAAAAACCCAGTGTAAATAAATTAAGTGAGTGTTCAGACATAAAGTTTTGATTATGGTGACAATGCAGAACATCTTTTACGTCTGCGTTGGAAAATTATCTGTCATGTCTGATTCTCAGGCAATATTCTTGGTTTTCTAATTTTTTCTTGTCTATTGAAATTAAAATAAAATATACTCCCACATAAAATATCCCGATCAAAATATTTAATTCAACAGAATGAAAATTAAATAATTTCTCTTACAGCCTTCTTGTGTATATGAAGAAATGTCAAAATGAACATTTTGATACGACTAATCGGTTAATCGGTCGAAACGTCTTACGGTTAACCCATTTGCAATTCTGTAACCGATTGCCATCCCTAGTTTATACCTATTTTAAGATGAAAGTGCTCAAAACCTTTAACTGTTTGCTAATCCTAAAAATGTACTTCCAATTAAGCATCCAAAGCAAGCCAGTTAGTATGTATCCTGAGATGTATCATCCATGCAAGTTTTCTCAACATAGGGCTCGTAGTTACTTGGAAATGAGACCTGCATCAAAAACTTTAACTTGTTTACTCATGCAGAAAAAAGTAGGCTATATTTGATTTAGCAGCCGAAGCAAGACTGGTAGTGTTCATCCTTAGATGTGTCATCCATGCAAGTTTGCTCAATATACAGATACTTGGCTCATAGATACTTAGAAATAAGATCTGCATTAAAAACTTTTACAGTGCACAAATATAGAAAATGTAAATCAGATTCAGCAGCCGAAACAAGTCTAGTAGTGTACATCCTTTTATGTATCATCCAACCAAGTTTGCTCAACATAGGGCTCATATATGTAGTTACTTAGAAATAAGATAACCACAAAAACATTAACCTGTTCATTGATCCGGAAAATATAGGTAAGATCTACATGTAGAATCCAAAGCAAAGACCAAAAACATAAACCAAAAATGTTAACCTTGTCATTCCTTAGCTGACATTGCCGAATCTAAAACATTATTCGGTACAATGAAAACACAGCATCTTCTACGCAGCACAGTTAAGGTTACAAATAGAAATATCGGCGATTTTTTAAGATGAAAAATACAAACTTTATAAGGATGGGCGATTCTTTTAGGACTTCACTGATATAAAAAAAATGTACTGTGGTTTAAATCTTCATGTTGGGGACATTTAGATTTTTTTTATTTAGACTTGCCACGTGATGTCGACGTCAGATGATTTTAGCAATTACACTTGCAGTTTAGAGGTCATTTATAAATTCCTATATTGCAAGGACACAAGCCAGTTAAAAATCTTTAACTTTAATTTATAATCCTTTTCAATACTATATGTAGTTTATGAAAAAAACTGCTAACCTACATTGTATATCGATTCCTTTTTTGAATTGCTAAAATTTATTTTGTTGGACGGCAGGTTGAATATTATGCTGATCAACTACATTAAATATAGCTGTAAATAATTTATTTGCAAGATTTCATGAGGTTCGCAGCACTTTTCAAATATACTAATGCTTCTGGAGTTTATGTGTAAAAACTTCACAAGATACATTGAGGGTATACCCTTGCAATAAATAGATTTATTAGGGCCTTTCCATTACTTTTTCAATTAACCTGCATACAAACACACGACAACATCACTTGTCTGGAGAATGTACAGACAGTTTATCAATAAAATATTAAAATAGACATCGCATCCAAGTTAACGGCCTTTTATTTAATTGTAAATAATATTTTATTTTAGAACAAAAGACATTTTTCATTGTACAAAATGTGACTTGATCAGCCTCACACTGTGTACAAACTGCGTCATTTTTGCGAGAAGACATCACATTGACAAATGCATTGCGATCGATGCATCGTTTATATTGTGTGTGATTTAACAAACGACAAAACTGCATGTTATAGTAAGTTTGTATATAGTATACAGCTATCCAGCTGTCGGAAATAACAAATAATTTTTTTATTGTGGAACTGTAGATGCCTCATTCTTCGCGAGTACTTTTCATCGCGAACTGGCTCTTAAACGTCAAATCGCGAGAATTATGATTCGCGAATGGAAGGTTCATTAACAGAATTTATATAGATTTCAGCACCACAAAAATAAAAGCGAGTAATTTTTTTCGTGAGTGATGCTTCTCGCGAAATTTTGCGGAAATTAATTCCTCGCGTATAATTAGGAATCTACAGTATTTTGAAGACCATATATTATGTGTGACGTCAAAGTAAACATTTCCCGTACAAATAAGGCCCCGCCTCCTTACTTTAACCTTAACTGTGCTACGAACCTAATATTGCGATGTATTGTTACGTTTTAAACGCAGTAAAAGCTATGAAAAGCCTTAACAGTACCTTAACAGTACTGCGTTCATTTTTAATCAAATTCCTCCCTTCATTTTAACAGTTAATTGTATCGCCCCGAACGGTGCGACATATTGCGACTGTACATGTTTTTCCTTTCCTCAAAGGACGGATAATGGCTGCAGATTTGTTGTGCGGTCACTTAGCTTCTAAATGGTTACCATTGCCATGGAAACCTGCAAAAAGCGACGAAATTTGTCCGAGAGTATTTTCTTCGGTCCCTTGAACAGTCGTCATAAAACTTTATTAATTCAATGATTAGTATCTGTTATTGTGCGATCAGCATTTAAAAATTGCATATTGTCATTAGTTGCTATGGAAAGAGGGGGAAAGTGAAAATTCTTAAATCTTCGATATTAAAATCAAAGTACTAAAGTACTGATAGGAGTTGGTGGTTGTCCAAGCTTAGCTAACTGGTATTGTTTTAGTGATTAAAAAATGAAAGAATTGTCCAGCACGGGGCGACAAACGCTATTACAGTACCCGTATCGTTATTCTTTACAGGATACACGATACGATAGGATACACGCACGATACGATAGGATACACGCACGATAGGACAGGATACACGCACGATAGGATAAACGCAAAACACGATAAACGCAAAACACGATACACGCAAAACACGATAAACGCAAAACACGATAGACCTGATAAACGATCTACACGATAGGATAAACGCAAAACCTGATAGGATTGTTATAAAATGCGGAACGTTTTTTGACAAGACGAAAAAATTATTTTGAATTAAATCTAAAGATTAAAGATTATTTAAATAAAATTATATTTTAATTCAAATACTCGCAGAGCTTCAAATCTAAACTATAAAGTACATTTAATTATTATAAAAATAACCTGAAATCTCTGTATTAATTTTACAAAAGTTGTTTATTTATATATATATATAAAATTGACAGTGATTAAATGGATGTTTATGAAATGGAGACTGTATTTTTTTTTAAAATTTCTTCTCAAGTGTGTGAATTTTGAAACTCTATAAACAGATTTATTATTCATGAAAAATATACATTTTAATTTTCTATCTTATAAATTTATCTACAAGTACCTAGTTATTTCACGGAAGAAATTTACGCAATAAATTAAAAATTTGTATTTAATTTCTAAAGCTTACAATCTGCGATGTATCCAAAAATCGCAATTAAATATTAATATTGATATTAATATAACATTGTACGTAATGAAAAAGAATCAACGGAGTAAGTTTAGGGACTTCATTTCATTAAATTGATTTATATGAATTTTTATTTAACATTCAAGATTATTTTTTAATCCATAAATCGTACAATTATTTAATGTGTTTTGAATTAAATCTTTGATAACACTGTTCAAACAAGTTTAATAGGAACAAAATTCCGAAAATAAGAAGTTGCGTTTCAGTAGAACCAGGTAGTATTCGAGGTTACTAATTGACCCTGGGTGAGAAATCAGTACAGGTATGTTGACAGTGATCGCACACACGGGC